TTTTCACCTAGTCTGCTCGGGGATTCAAACCAGCAACCTTTCGGTTACTGGTCAAACGCTTTTTACCGCTAGGCTACCTGACGGAACTGTTGTCATGACAACATCATTGTGAAGCTGTATCTCACTGTTGCGTCTGTCCAACGGCTGCTGGGAGACTGTTGCGTCTGTCCAACGGCTGCTGGGAGACTGTTGCGTCTGTCCAACGGCTGCTGGGAGACTGTTGCGTCTGTCCAACGGCTGCTGGGAGACTGTTGCGTCTGTCCAACGGCTGCTGGGACACTGTTGCGTCTGTCCAACGGCTGCTGGGACACTGTTGCGTCTGTCCAACGGCTGCTGGGAGACTGTTGCGTCTGTCCAACGGCTGTTGGGAGACTGTTGCGTCTGTCCAACGGCTGCTGGGAGACTGTTGCGTCTGTCCAACGGCTGCTGGGAGACTGTTGCGTCTGTCCAACGGCTGCTGGGAGACTGTTGCGTCTGTCCAACGGCTGCTGGGAGACTGTTGCGTCTGTCCAACGGCTGCTGGGAGACTGTTGCGTCTGTCCAACGGCTGCTGGGAGACTGTTGCGTCTGTCCAACGGCTGCTGGGAGACTGTTGCGTCTGTCCAACGGCTGCTGGGACACTGTTGCGTCTGTCCAACAGCTGCTGGGAGACTGTTGCGTCTGTCCAACGGCTGCTGGGAGACTGTTGCGTCTGTCCAACGGCTGCTGGGAGACTGTTGCGTCTGTCCAACGGCTGCTGGGAGACTGTTGCGTCTGTCCAACGGCTGCTGGGAGACTGATGCCAGAGTCTGTATGACATTTTCATGTGAAAGATTCCAACAAAGGAAGGAACTATTATTTACAACTTAGCTAATGTACTACACTACTGAAACACCAGTGAACATACAGGGAAACTGTTTGTACTTGGAGCATTATCACTGTCCAAAGTCAAAGGGAAATGTGCCATATTTGAGGCATTATCAGTAACTCTATACAGTGCAGGAACAAATCTTACAAATGTAAATATTCCAGATAAAGTTAAAGATCCCCTGAATTCTACTCAATTTCATTCCATTCCTAAAACACATCTCTCAGTCTGTTCATAGGTGGAATTTCCCAAGTGCTCGCTAGAATTCACATCATGTGCAACTCATTGGCTGAGACAGGAGACACCCATTCTAGAATGAAAGAATGAGATTCCTCCGAGTTCTAAACAGTCCAACTACTATCTAACACGGATTACAGCACAACCAGCGATGAACAGTGAGTTAAAATAACCTCCAAATCTATGGGTTGTTTGCTCTAATATCCAGATTTTGGGATCAGCAGGTTTGGGCTCAGTCCCAAATAACACCGTATTCTCTATGTAGTGCACTACTTTTGTCCAGAGCCCTATGAGGAATAGGGAATAGGGTGCCACTTGTGCTGGGCAGGCTCACAGACATCTGGCGAATCAGCAGGAAATCAATGCCATTAGAACACACCTTATGGCCAGTGACAAATCACAGGGCACACTATAACAGAGACAGATTATGATCCTGATGAGCTCTCAGTCACTAACTACTCAAGGAAGGGTAGGAGGGTTCCAGTTACATGATCAGGGTACAATACTAGAAACTATTTAGAAAAGACCAATACATACTGGTATAGTCCGACGCATGGAATACTACAGAAAGTATCAAAGACTATTCTGTGCTGTATGGTATATGATGTAGAGGTAGTCCAAGCTACCTACGGAGGTGGCTTGGGAATCTGATTCTGAAGTCAGATTTGATGTCAGATCTGTCTCCTTACACTATAAAACGTGTGTTGTGTTTCAAACAAGCCGTGTGTAAAAAGGCTCCATCTTTTCCCGTTGTCTCTGTCGTTGCCTACCCACCTCCCCTTCACATTGTTGGCACTAGGAGCTGTTATTACCTCACTGCTAGCTGAAGCTCCACAGGTAACAGGCAGGCCGTGGCAGTCGGCGCCCTACAGTAGCACCGCTCTCTCAAGGTGAACACAGCGCAGCCCGTCATAAACACCTCAGACCTCAACCTACTCCACACAATGGTAACAAAAGCCCAAAATAAAGACTGCCATTGACATTCAGTAAAAGGATATGTGTAAGATCTTCAGCAGCCATTAGGGGGGAATTGTGACCGTTCCACAGAATACATTTCTCTCTACTAGAATATAATATGATCCACTGTGTTGACTGGTCCTAGAGGTTTCCTGGTGCAGTCTACGATACGTAGGCTACGTCCCGACTTTCCACCCTTTTCTCGAAGTGTGCACTTGGTGTAAGCATTGGCTGGAGAGTTTCCACCATTGTAAAATCCATACGAGAAAGAGTGCAAGTACACACTTCAGCAGAAGAGTGAAGAATCAAACCTGAGGCATTGTGATGGTGCACACTCACCGATGCGATTGGTGCATGTCTCCAGGTCTGTGAGGAAGCCTGGGATCTGCTGTAGTTGTTCTTGTAGTTCCACCACTGCTGCTCTTCTCTTCTCCCAGTGGGCAGACAGCATCACCACCTCTCCATCCACTGTCTGAGAGGGAGGGGGAGAGAGAGAGAGAAGAGAGAGAGAGAGAGAGAGAAGAGAGAAGAGAGAGAGAGAGAGAGAGAGAGAGAGAGAAGAGAAGACGAGAGAGAGAAGAGAGAGAATGTGAGATGATGGATAGATTGGTTGAAGAGGTTTGATGTTACCCATGTTTCTATGTATTCTTATTCTTGATGCAAAATTCAATGTGAGTATAATTAATACATTGTGCTACAGTTCATACATACCTCTCCAGCTTTCGCACAATCTTTAGCTTTTCTGTGGAGCATCACCCAGGTGTCTTCGTACCTTCAAAACACAATAAACTAATGAAACAAATACGGCCTTGTGTTTTCTTCCCTTTACACTATGCTACATGTATTCAGACCACTGAGTGTTTCAATGTATGCATCCCAAATGGCACCCTATTCCCTATGCTCTCATTTGGACGTATCCAATGAGAGCAACACCTACCGACTTAGCAGTTCCACTCCAGCAGAAAACTGTGGCAGATGTTCATCATGTCTGTTGAGAGACAGGAAATGAGTCATTAAGGGAAAGAGGCTATAAAGAGGAGAAAGGAGAAAGAGAACGTGGATGTAAATGAATGATTTCACAGGCATTCCTGGGCTATACTCATAAAGCCTCAGACTGGAAGTACTGATCAAGCATCAGGTCCTCTCTGTCAATATAGTCTTTATTCATTATGATCTAAAAGGCCAACCTGATATTAGATCATCACTCCAACTCTGAGACACTATGGATACAGACCCTGCTCTCCTTCCTTACCTCTGTTTCTTCTTTACTTTGACCTCCTTTGATTTATCACTCAGAGTCTTCATCCTGAAGTGAAATTATAAAGATGTGAGCAGGTTAAAAAAAAAATATATATATATATATATATATGGGACAGCCGTCACAGCAATGTAAATATTCATTGGATGACAGTAGACACGTTGGGTCTGTCCTAAATGGCACCACATTCCCTATATAATGCACTAATTTCTATTCTATAATATTCTACTGTATCTTAGTCCATGCTGCTCTGTCATTGCTTGTCCATATATGTATATATTCTTAAATTCGATTCCTTACTTAGATTTATGTGTATTGGGTATATGTTGTGAAATTGTTAGATATGATAAATTACTGCACTGTCGGAGGCTAGAAGCACAAGCATTTCGCTACACCCGCAATAAAATCTGCTAAACACGTGTATGTGACAAATACAATTTGATTTGATTTGAAGTAGTGCACTATATAGGGAATAGGTTGCCATAAATATTGCTTGAGACTTTTTCTGCTTCAGACCTCCGGCATCAGGCTCCAGTCCAGTATGTTCCGTCTCGCTCACTACCATCACATGATGGTCAGCTGAACGTAATCAACTTAGCTAGCTGTAGTTAGCTAGCTAACTGTATCAATAAGCTTTGGCAGCTTCTAAATTGAAATTCATGGTTTTCATTTACTGCCAGCCTGGGTGTCTTTTGCCAGTGTTTTGTGTTTAGTAGCTAGCTATGCAAAACTTGTTCGATGGTTTCGTCCCACACATAGTTACATCCAGCTAGATAGCCTTTCAACCATGCTGGCAGAGAGGGAGAAACTAACGTAGCTAACTAACTAATTAACGTAGCTAGTTTTTTAAAATGGCTAATACAGTAATGTCAGAACAGGCAGGGTCACAAGACATAGGGCCACGAATGAAGCATTAGCTATAAAAGTAACTTTAATACAAACCCCGTTGTGAAATCTTGCTGCACCGTCTGCAACCTCTCTTTGAAATTCTCAAACATCTTCCTGGTTTCTTCCAAGCAGCAAATACGTTGTTTGTCGTCGCATTAACTGTATTAGCTAGCTTCTTTGTGAGTATTCCTAAAGTGCCATGTCAATGTTCAGATTGTATGCATCTATAAGTAGCTATAAGCTAAAGTCGGATAGATGGCTGTAGTTTGGTCTTTGCTCAGCTGTTTTCCTGACTCAGTCAAGTGTCAACATGCAATCCGGTTGTTGAGCGGAATCACGGTTGCGCAGCATTCTTTCACATAGAAAACAGGAAGCCTTTCATTAGGCATCATTTTTTTTGTACATCAAAATGTTACAAAAACAAATGTCACAATATTTTGAGGAGAAAATTATTGTGAGTTTACATTAATATTTGTGTGTGTGTAGCATGGCTTCTAAAAACCGCTTTTGTATGAATTAACAGGTAACTTGATTAGAACGAACAACCCAGTAGGTGGCGACAAAAACCTTGTTTACGTCTGTGTATTTGCACTGATTGGTTGTTGAGAAGTTTACTGAATGAAGGGGGCGGTGCTTCATTCACCCTCGAAGTCATATAAAACCCCCCAGTTGTGTTTTTGCACACGGTCTGATCGGCCCGTGGGCTTGCAGCAGGACTTTTAAGTTTGAATGTTGGATTTCTGTAAGATAAGAAGAGCATCAATAGATTGAACTACTATAGGATAACTATTCCAAACATACAGAGAAACAAAAATGCTTTGCCATATAACGCTCCCGGACGCGGTGGTGATGGAGCTGGATGTTGATTCGAAGGCAAATGGAGAGGACTGCTTACACAAGGTACATTTATTAGAATTGAAATTGAACCATGCTAAATCTATTTTATTCCATGTTGTCAGTGTCTCTGTGTTGGGGTTGCAAATTAATGCAGTTTTAACCATTTTGATTTCTGTAAACATTTGGGGAATTTGAATAAAAGTAAACTTACTTGTAACAATGTAACAACAGTGTAGTACTTGTAACATTGTATTTAATTACCAGACTTGATGGGGTATTGACTTCTTTAGTGAAGTGGTTTTTTTCTATTGTTTTGACGCACAGGTCTGTCGGAAACTGGGAATAATAGAGGTGGATTACTTTGGGCTCCAGTTCAGCGGAAGCAAAGGGGAGAGTTTGTGGTTGAACCTGAGGAACAGGATCTCACAACAGATGGATAACCTGGCTCCCTGCAGACTGAAGCTCCGAGTCAAGTTCTTTGTAGAACCCCATCTCACCCTGCAAGAACAGACGAGGTATGTTTACTGTGCACTCTATAAGGGACCTATTTGGAGTAAGGCACTCTGCCTATTGTAGCTAATGGTACTGCAAACATTAGATGTAAAGGTAGTAGGTCATGTCTTTTTTAAATGCAATAAGATTACCAAAATGTAGTGACAGAACAGATTGGATCAGATAAAATCGAGTTACAACCCTGCTATTTCGGTCAACTTGTAATCTTTCAGCCCATAGAGTCAGGGGGATGTTTGACCCCCCCGTATGCAAACAGTGGCAGGAGACGCATCGGCAGCGAGTTAGTTACCCTGCATGCATTGAACTGTGTGATCAGCTAACTCTAGCGCTAACCTGTAATGTCTACCTACACCTGTTGTATTTGGCGCATGTGGCAAATACAATTTGATTTGATTTGATCAGCAAGCTGTAACGCTAACCTACATGTCCCTGGCCAGTCAATGTGCTCTATGGGCTTTGTTCCAGTGTATAACGTGTGTGTATAATGTGACTCAGGATTACGTCCCAAACGGCCCCCTTTTCTCTTTATAGCGCACTACTTTTGATAATATTCCTATGGGTGCAGTAGGGTTGTGTCCCGATCTCTCTATCCAAATCTCAAAGTGTGCACTTTGCACACTCCCCGGTGTTGAGCGATTAGTGCTTTTTGAGGTCTGTTAAAAAATTAAATAAAAGCACGGTTTCGATTATTTGGGATGAATGCTGTAACAACACAGAATAAAAGGTCCATTGGTGGTAGTGACTGCCCATTACTGCTGATCACCTATTATCCATTTATTCACATTACTTTACTTTAATATTAATATTTCAGTTGTTGTGTATATTCCATTTGTTTTATTTGATGACTTTATTATTTCATTCCATGTCATCTCATCTCTAGAGCTCCTCCCTATGCTGTCTGACAAAATCATTATTTTAGTCTTCAAAGCAAATAAGGCATACTTTTATGACTGCTGAAAACCAACTATCAATCACTTAGATCATGTATTTTCAGGTAGAGATACCTCACTAAGCAACAGCTGCTCTCTATATCCCCTCACGATCGCGCATTCTTCTGCCTCTTCTGTAGCAGGCGTAAAAGAAACGCACAGACCTGACAAGTAGATGCTCAATGGATTATAGTCATCGTGGTTAATTACCACGTTTGATGTGCTAAACTATGTAGAATATTGGCCTGTTGGAAACCACAACTCCCTACTACATCGGACAGTTCAGGCTGGATCTGATTTATCTCTAGAGAAACTGTGCAATGTGCGCATTGAGCTCACAAAAAAAAAAAATGTAATTCAAATAATTGAACTGACGTCGGTCAATTAGTTGTTTAAAAACCGAAAAATAACCAATATTTAGGTTAATCGCTCAGCACTACATCATGGTCAAAGATGGGACCGAGAGAATGAAAAACAGCTTCTATCTCAAGGCCATCAGACTGTTAAATAGCCATCACTAGCACATCAGAGGCTGCTGCTGCCTTTTACATTTTAGTCAGTTAGCAGACGCTCTTATCCAGAGCGACTTACAGTTAGTGAGCACATACATTTTTCATACTGGCCCCCCGTGGAAATCGAACCCACAACCCTGGCGTTGCAAGCGCCATGCTCTACCAACTGAGCTACACTGGCCACTTTAAGAAATGGAACACTAGTCACTTTAATAATGTTTACATATCTTGCATTACTCATCTCATATGTATATACTGTATTCTATAATATTCTACTGTATCTTAGTCCATGCCGCTCTGTCATTGCTTGTCCATATATGTATTATTAAATTCCATTCCTTACTTAGATTTGTGTGTATTGGGTATGTGTTGTGAAATTGTTAGATATTACTTGTTAGATATTACTGCACTGTCGGAGCTAGAAGCACAAGCATTTCGCTACACCCGCAATAACATCTGCTAAACACGTGTATGTGACAAATAACATTTGATTTGATTTGGATTTAAAAGCATTGGATTAGCTGGAGGGAGTTTCCACCTTTGTGAAATACATGATGGGATGTGTGCCAGGCCCAACTATCCAGCAGGACAAGGTAAATCATGACCCAGCCAAGTACTTGACCGGACAGAGGGTACTGGTCTATCTAGAGGTCCTACTTGTACAATACCTGCATTGCGGTATTGGCAAGTCAACAGACGGGGAGCTACGAGTACCTATCCGAGACGGTACTACAGTACCTATACAGACCAGCCAGGGTACCTACAGTACATACCAGACAGGGGTACCTACAGTACTATAACCAGCAGCCAGGGTACCTACAGTACTATACCAGCACAGGGTACCTACAGTACTATACCAGCCAGCCAGGGTACCTACAGTACTATACCAGACAGCAGGGTACCTACAGTACTATACACAGACCACAGCCATCCCAGGGTACCTACAGTACTATACCAGCAGCCAGGGTACCTACAGTACTATACCAGCCAGACCAGGGTACCTACAGTATAAACCAGCCAGCCAGGGTACCTACAGTACTATACCAGCCACAGGGTACCTACAGTAATACCAGCCAGCACAGGGTACCTACAGTACTATACCAGACAGCCAGGGTACCTACAGTACTATACCAGCACAGGGTACCTACAGTACTATACCAGACAGCCAGGGTACCTACAGTACTATACCAGCCAGCAGGGTACCTACAGTACTATACCGCAGCCAGGGTACCTAAGTACTATACCAGCCAGACAGGGTACCTACAGTACTATACCTGCCAGCCAGGGTACCTACAGTACTATACCAGCCAGCCAGGGTACCTATAGTACTATACCAGCCAGACAGGGTACCTACAGTACTATACCTGCCAGCCAGGGTACCTACAGTACTATACCAGCCAGACAGGTACCTACAGTACTATACCTGCCAGCCAGGGTACCTACAGTACTATACCAGCCAGGGGTACCTACAGTACTATACCGCCAGCCAGGGTACCTACAGTACTATACCAGCCAGCCAGGGTACCTACAGTACTATACCAGCCAGCAGGGTACCTACAGTACTATACCAGACAGCCAGGGTACCTACAGTACTATACCAGACAGCCAGGGTACCTACAGTACTATACCAGCCAGGGTACCTACAGTACTATCCCGCCAGGGTACCTACATACTATCCAGCCGGGTACCTACAGTACTATACCAGACAGCCAGGGTACCTACAGTACTATACCAGACAGCCAGGGTACCTACAGTACTATAACCAGACAGGGTACCTACAGTACTATACCAGACAGCCAGGGTACCTACAGTACTATACCAGACAGGGACCTACAAACCAGCGGTACCTACAGTACTATACCAGACAGCCAGGGTACCTACAGTACTATACCAGACAGCCAGGGTACCTACAGTACTATACCAGACAAGGGTACCTACAGCACTATACCAGACAGCCAGGGTACCTACAGTACTATACCAGCCAGACAGGGTACCTACAGTACTATACCAGACAGCCAGGGTACCTACAGTACTATACCAGCCAGACAGGGTACCTAGAGTACTATACCAGACAGCCAGGGTACCTACAGTACTATACCAGACAGCCAGGGTACCTACAGTACTATACCAGCCAGCCAGGGTACCTACAGTACTATACCAGACAGACAGGGTACCTACAGTACTATACCTGCCAGCCAGGGTACCTACAGTACTATACCAGACAGACAGGGTACCTACAGTACTATACCAGCCAGCCAGGGTACCTACAGTACTATACCAGCCAGCCAGGGTACCTACAGTACTATACCAGACAGGGTACCTACAGTACTATACCAGCCAGACAGGGTACCTACAGTACTATACCAGACAGCCAGGGTACCTACAGTACTATACCAGACAGCCAGGGTACCTACAGTACTATACCAGACAGCCAGGGTACCTACAGTACTATACCAGACAGCCAGGGTACCTACAGTACTATACCAGCCAGGGTACCTACAGTACTATACCAGCCAGCCAGGGTACCTACAGTACTATACCAGCCAGCCAGGGTACCTACAGTACTATACCAGCCAGCCAGGGTACCTACAGTACTATACCAGACAGCCAGGGTACCTACAGTACTATACCAGCCAGACAGGGTACCTACAGTACTATACCAGCCAGACCAGGGTACCTACAGTACTATACCAGCCAGGGTACCTACAGTACTATACCAGCAGCCAGGGTACCTACAGTACTATACCAGCCAGGGTACCTACAGTACTATACCAGCCAGCCAGGGTACCTACAGTACTATACCAGCCAGCCAGGGTACCTACAGTACTATACCAGACAGACAGGGTACCTACAGTACTATACCAGCCAGACAGGGTACCTACAGTACTATACCAGCCAGCCAGGGTACCTACAGTACTATACCAGCCAGGGTACCTACAGTACTATACCAGCCAGCCAGGGTACCTACAGTACTATACCAGCCAGGGTACCTACAGTACTATACCAGCCAGCCAGGGTACCTACAGTACTATACCAGCCAGCCAGGGTACCTACAGTACTATACCAGCCAGCCAGGGTACCTACAGTACTATACCAGACAGGGTACCTACAGTACTATACCAGCCAGACAGGGTACCTACAGTACTATACCAGACAGCCAGGGTACCTACAGTACTATACCAGACAGCCAGGGTACCTACAGTACTATACCAGACAGCCAGGGTACCTACAGTACTATACCAGCCAGACAGGGTACCTACAGTACTATACCAGACAGCCAGGGTACCTACAGTACTATACCAGCCAGACAGGGTACCTACAGTACTATACCAGAGAGCCAGGGTACCTACAGTACTATACCAGCCAGCCAAGGTACCTACAGTACTATACCAGCCAGGGTACCTACAGTACTATACCAGCCAGGGTACCTACAGTACTATACCAGCCAGCCAGGGTACCTACAGTACTATACCAGCCAGACAGGGTACCTACAGTACTATACCAGACAGACAGGGTACCTACAGTACTATACCAGACAGGGTACCTACAGTACTATACCAGACAGGGTACCTACAGTACTATACCAGCCAGACAGGGTACCTACAGTACTATACCAGACAGGGTACTTACAGTACTATACCAGCCAGCCAGGGTACCTACAGTACTATACCAGCCAGGGTACCTACAGTACTATACCAGACAGGGTACCTACAGTACTATACCAGACAGGGTACCTACAGTACTATACCAGCCAGACAGGGTACCTACAGTACTATACCAGACAGGGTACTTACAGTACTATACCAGCCAGCCAGGGTACCTACAGTACTATACCAGCCAGGGTACCTACAGTACTATACCAGCCAGACAGGGTACCTACAGTACTATACCAGCCAGACAGGGTACCTACAGTACTATACCAGCCAGACAGGGTACCTACAGTACTATACCAGCCAGGGTACCTACAGTACTATACCAGCCAGACAGGGTACCTACAGTACTATACCAGACAGCCAGGGTACCTACAGTACTATACCAGCCAGACAGGGTACCTACAGTACTATACCAGCCAGACAGGATACCTACAGTACTATACCAGCCAGGGTACCTACAGTACTATACCAGCCAGACAGGGTACCTACAGTACTATACCAGCCAGACAGGGTACCTACAGTACTATACCTGCCAGACAGGGTACCTACAGTACTATACCTGCCAGACAGGGTACCTACAGTACTATACCAGCCAGGGTACCTACAGTACTATAACAGACAGACAGGGTACTACTAGAGCCTAGTGTATTTTCTTCAATAACAAAATAATTGCAAAAAAAACAAGTAGCCTACTACTAGAGCATAGCTTCACATGACTGCCAACCAGGTCTCACAGACAGGCAGACAGAGAGCTGCCAGTTTGGTTTGCCCTGGAGTGCCCTGACGCCATGTATCGACTGACAAGACAAACAGAGGGGTCTGGAGTGTGTTGCCATGAAGGGGAGTAGCCTGACAACCATCCACATGGCTCCTGCCAACACACCACGCCCACTATCGTTTCCTCTAACGTGTGGAGCGATCGATAGAGCAGCAGAATTACATTCAGGATGAGTCCTCAGGCTAGAACAGGAGACTACTGTATCTAACTTTTATTTGATCTGTCCGGTTTCTCCTCATCACTCCATTACTGACTAGCTATATTGATTTGAGACTTCCAGTATGTAATCTCCACTGAGACTGGGTTGGTTGGTCATAAGGGATGGGGATGATGTAATTATGAGGTGTGTGTTTGGACTGTGTTCACTCCAGAAATGAGGACAGGGGTCAGACAGCAGAATCATGGGCAGGGGTTTGTAACCAGGAGACGGACAGAAAAGTCAGTCGAATGTTGCTTTTAAAGTCAACTCCTGAAACTAGTGCCAATACAGCCATTCAAAGTGAAAGGAAGTTCACAAGCACTCCAACATCAGTTTAGAGTTGAGGCACAAGCTGCATGCGACCCACAGTCCTTTGGGAGGATTTTGCTGCTGTGCTCCAACAGTTTTAGAATGTCCCTCATAGCTTGGCCCTGAGCCAAGTGCTGTCAGAGGGTTACTTTAACACACTGGACTGTTTCTACAGGAGGATACTGCAGTCAGTCTGAGAGAGTTACTTCAACACGCTAGACTGTTTCTACAGGAGGATACTGCAGTCAGTCTGAGAGAGTTACTTTAACACTAGACTGTTGCTACAGGAGGATACTGCAGTCAGTCTGAGAGAGTTACTTCAACACTAGACTGTTGCTACAGGAGGATACTGCAGTCAGTCTGAGAGAGTTACTTTAACACTAGACTGTTGCTACAGGAGGATACTGCAGTCAGTCTGAGAGAGTTACTTTAACACTCTGGACTGTTTCTACAGGAGGATACTGCAGTCAGTCTGAGAGAGTTACTTCAACACGCTAGACTGTTTCTACAGGAGGATACTGCAGTCAGTCTGAGAGAGTTACTTTAACACTCTGGACTGTTTCTACAGGAGGATACTGCAGTCAGTCTGAGAGAGTTACTTCAACACGCTAGACTGTTTCTACAGGAGGATACTGCAGTCAGTCTGAGAGAGTTACTTTAACACGCTGGACTGTTTCTACAGGAGGATACTGCAGTCAGTCTGAGAGAGTTACTTCAACACGCTAGACTGTTTCTACAGGAGGATACTGAAGTCAGTCTGAGAGAGTTACTTCAACACGCTAGACTGTTTCTACAGGAGGATACTGCAGTCAGTCTGAGAGAGTTACTTCAACACGCTAGACTGTTTCTACAGGAGGATACTTGGACAGAATGACAGTGTTGAATGAAATCTTAAATTCCACACTGACAGCCCATGTGTAGGCTAACTAGTTTGGTCTTGAGAGAAGACAGTCAGTCACACTATGTATAGAATCAACAGCAGGCTATGTCTGTACTATTGACACAGCTGACATGGCATATCTGAAATGCTGAACTTCAGAAAAGACACATTGCATAACTGACAGGTGTGGGAAAGTATGTCTGAAACCTTAACCTAACCAGTAAATCAACTTCTCCGGCGAAACAGAGGATTGAGAAAGTCAATTTAACGGAAAATGCCCAATGCTCTTAATCTTCCATCATAGCCTAAATCCTGTAATCTTCGTGGGAATTAATATAATTTCTTAACAATGTACAATAGGACTACGTAGATAAATAATTTAATTCTCAGCCTGACACAGGCAAATACACCTAATGGTAGTATACATGGGCTAATATACAGGCATGTAGGTGGCAAGATTAGAAAGTGTCAATGATTTAAAAAAATATATATATATAACAAAAAAATAGTTTTTGTCACGTTCACCAGATGGATGCAGTGAAATGTGTTGAGGGTCAGCCATAGTAGTACGGCGCCCCTGAGGTATATTAGGGTTAAGTGCCTTGCTCAAGCATACGTGGACAGATATTTCACACTGACAGATGGGTCAACACCGCTTTGGTGTGTTCTCAGCCTTTGCTTGAGTAGGGGTTGACAAGAGGAAACACTGCAAACGATGGAACATGAACCATGTATCGCAGATAACAACAAAGTATAGGCTTTCACCCCCCAAAAAAAAAAATTTGAACTCAAAATTTGCTAAATATAGTGCTACTAAATCACTCAGCCTTCAGATTATTCCTAAAGTAAAAGAACGCACGTTGTGAATCATAATTCATAACTCGTAAAAAAAAAAAAAAAATTCAACAGGAGGCTTATGTAAGTTGTCTCTAAGCACGTGCTCTGCAGGCCCAAAAAGAGTTGCGCAAACAAGAGAGGGAGAGGCCCTCTCTGTCAGCAGTCCACATGCAGCTCCACACTCACTGACAATGAGAGCCATGCATCCTGTGGGCTTAGCATGCAAAGTCCCACACATCCACCCACCCCTGGAACTGGCCTCCCTCCACACTGGACTGAGGCTTCCTTGTCCCTGTCCCTGCCAAGGCTGCCTGATTTGTCACTGTCCAGAGAAACACCCTCCCAGTCTCTGGCTGGCTGAGAGTGAGAACACACTGTACTAGCCTTTGTTAATCCAAGCAGGCATCCTTCCTGTTGGCTACGGCTGGGAGCCCCACTAGCTACAGCCACACACACACACACACACACACACACACTGCTTTATCACACTGTACTGCAGACAAGCTGTTTAAATAGGATCTTCTGGTGATAAAACCTTGCAGGGCAGAGTTCATATACCAAGAGTTCAGGAGAGCATTCAGTACTTCAACTGTACTACAGCTGCGAGGAACCATGGGAGAATGTATTGTTGAGAGTTGGTGGTTTCCATTTAAAATTCATAACGAGTAAGCATCAATCTTGTTTTAATAAGACTGCTCAAGCAAAGTAAAACCATTTGACAAAACAGTTGCTACAGTGTGTTTCTGACAGTCAGTCCTGTACCTACAGTGGCTTGTCTCAGACAGTCACTCCTGCACCTACAGTGGCTTGTCTCTGACAGTCACTCCTGTACCTACAGTGGCTTGTCTCTGACAGTCAGTCCTGTACCTACAGTGGCTTGTCTCTGACAGTCACTCCTGTACCTACAGTGGCTTGTCTCTGACAGTCAGTCCTGCACCTACAGTGGCTTGTCTCTGACAGTCACTCCTGTACCTACAGTGGCTTGTCTCTGACAATCACTCCTGTACCTACAGTGGCTTGTCTCCGACAGTCACTCCTGTACCTACAGTGGCTTGTCTCCGACAGTCACTCCTGTACCTACAGTGGCTTGTCTCTGACAGTCACTCCTGTACCTACAGTGGCTTGTCTCTGACAGTCACTCCTGTACCTACAGTGGCTTGTCTCCGACAGTCACTCCTGTACCTACAGTGGCTTGTCTCTGACAGTCAGTCCTGTACCTACAGTGGCTTGTCTCTGACAGTCAGTCCTGTACCTACAGTGGCTTGTTTCTGACAGTCAGTCCTGTACCTACAGTGGCTTGTCTCTGACAGTCACTCCTGTACCTACAGTGGCTTGTCTCCGACAGTCACTCCTGTACCTACAGTGGCTTGTCTCTGACAGTCAGTCCTGTACCTACAGTGGCTTGTCTCTGACAGTCACTCCTGTACCTACAGTGGCTTGTCTCCGACAGTCAGTCCTATACCTACAGTGGCTTGTCTCTGACAGTCAGTCCTGTACCTACAGTGGCTTGTCTCTGACAGTCACTCCTGTACCTACAGTGGCTTGTCTCTGACAGTCAGTCCTGTACCTACAGTGGCTTGTCTCTGACAGTCACTCCTGTACCTACAGTGGCTTGTCTCTGACAGTCACTCCTGCACCTACAGTGGCTTGTCTCTGACAGTCAGTCCTGTACCTACAGTGGCTTGTCTCTGGCAGTCAGTCCTGTACCTACAGT